CAAACACTGACGTCTATTACGCACAAAATTATGTTAAACACTGACATACTTATCTTACTGACAAATCTTTGAACGCTGATCTGCTGAACTCATAAAAGTTCTTGAGTCAGTCAGCCAGTCAGTCAAAATTGAAATGTGTAGATGCTTAGTTATAAAATCGCTAGTATCCTTGTGAAGCTCATGGATTTGAACTGAAAAAAGTTAAATGGAATGAACTAATTTGTTCCTGCGTAATGTATCATGCAAGAACACTTTTTAGTGGCTATCGTGATGTAGCGGTGACAGAGTCGTGACAAAAATCGTCTACATAAAACAGAGGTCACCCGCTGTCTGTCCCTTTGTACGATAGATCTTTAAAACTATGTGACATATTAAAGGTTTTTAATTTATATGATGTTTCAATAACTATTGAATATATGTTTAATTCATAATTTATTAAAGCCACAAATTCACGGGCAGGAAGTTAGTTAGTATTCTAGATAAGAGGCATAACGTAATTTACAGGTATAAAAGTAAATAAAATGAGAATTTAGAATTCAGAAGATCAACCTTAGGTTTTAAAACTTAACCTTTCCAACTTCCACGTCATTAAAAATACAATAAAAAGTACTATAACAGAAATAATTAACTCAAAAGTTATAATATCTGTTTACCCTGTAAACAGTATAATTGTAGAGAGCACAGCGATCACCGAAACAACTTGATCACGATGCGCCGGCGCACGTTGCTCAGCTTTCTACATTCCCGCAAGACCGGTGCTGCCCACCGCTATGTCTGCAATATCACTTGCCGGCTCAAAATACACTGCTTAACAAGAAATATATGTATATAGACTAGTCTGGATTTTTGTCTGAATACTAAATAAAAGGTTGTGATATTTTTCTACAAAAAAGATCTTACTCTATATGGTGACAGTAAGAATTACATTGGTAGCATTTACACATTTATAACCCTTATTTACACTGGTGTAGAGTTGACCAAGAAACTACATATTTAAAGCTCTAAATAGTACCTATACATACATATATGTAGGTATACTATTGTATACACAGTAAATACATAACATGAATTATTATGATGATGTTTCTACCAACATCGAACACAATCACAGCGTTGTTTTGTCATCAGTTAGGCACCGCGGCCTCGGCCTAGAGCAGGAGAAGGAACGGGGGGTTTTTATGGTCAGTAACAGTCTGACACTTCCTCTCGCTTCTCCTTGGGAGAGAGAAGTCATTTGATGATTTTCCCCGAACAAAAAGAAGCGTTTTTTGCCGTGTGAGTAAGGATACAGGAGGCCCAATCCTTCCTATCTCCCATTCCTTCTCAATCCATCAATGTCCGAAACTCTAATCCGCTAAGGGCTGGCAACGCACTCGTAACTTAACTATTGCCTAGATTGCTTACCATCAGGTAATAAACTGAAAGCTCGTTGGCCGAGCTACCACTTAAAATTTGGAAATGGCTCCATTTTAAGGTTCTGCAGTGAATATGTGACTGAAAAGGTTACATTTGTTTTATAGTATGTAGTAGCAAAAATTTATACATTTAGATAGATAGATATTATTATCTTATACCTCATAGATAAAATAAATAATACCGTCTAATGATGATGCTAAACATCTATCGCAAGGAATTTATATACAAATAAAAAGTGCTGGCTACCCCCTTCGGGGAATAAAAGTCGAATGTCAGGTAAATCAAGTGTGGATGCGTACGCGCACGTCGTTAGAAAGCCGATCATCTGTCGTCATAACACGTGCAATTTGCATTCACTTTTGGTATCTCAATCGAGGTGATGTTACTTGCGAAAATATTTCTCTTACATACAAATATATTTTTATAATATTTTCAATTTACACACTTTTTTTAAGAAACACCGGTAATTACTGTTTAGTCGTTATTAAGTTTATTTTTGGCTATATTTTCTGCAGTACGGTCAGTTCAGTGGACAGATAGATAATCGTGTCGTGGGATCGATGCCCGTGCGGAGAAATTATGTGTGATGTGTGTATGAAAATGTACCCACAATACAGGAGAAAACCTAAGTGTGGGGCAAAGCTGAAAGAAAAATATTGTTTCAAAAAGTTATTAAGAGTTATTAAAATTATCATCATCAAATCTGGCAGTCCTTTGCTGGGCTACATATACATATTTATGTAAATAATCCTCCATATAAGCGTGTTTTCCATAATAGTCACTCTCGACTTTTACCTACTTAAGCTATACATACTCGCATCTCACTAACAGTTCCCAACTCTTTATAATCCTAAAGAAAATCTAACACTAAACAACCAAAGTTGTCATTGGACCTCTAGTCACGCACACAGCGAAATAAAAAGACAAAAAAAGACAAAAAAAAAACACAAAAAACCAAAAAAAGAACACGATGTTCACGCCACAGTAAATCTATCACCAGTATCACAATGCCTTAAGTTGTCTATCACAAATTGCCGGTTGATTCACGATCAATGTTTAAGTAAACCTTATTTTACTATGGCACCGACTGCGTTCTATTGTACAGGTCGTGTTATGTAGAACTGTGACAACCGTGCCACCGACACAATGCATTGGCCTACTGCTCTGGTAATTCACTGTGGCCTTGAAAATAACGGTTTTGTTTATATCGATGGGTGACAAAGCGACTACTTAATAATGTTATCGTCTTTTGGACCATGGATGCCTTGTTCTATTAGGCATCATCATATCTTTGCGTAAATGAACAAAATATGGGGGCGGGTATCCTGGTCAAGTGCAATGACATACCGTGACGTGTAGTGGTTTTTAGTCAGTTAGAGTCTGACACTCCTTCTCGCCTTACTCGGACAAGAAGATTAATTCAATGTTTTAGCAGACTTCAAAAAAGCTATTACGTTTTAATATTAGGTAAAAGCAAGGAATTTAAAGAGCAGATTTGATATAATATGCCAAAGAGGATACTGAACGCTTCCATGGATATTTTTTATATAAAGAGCACAGTCCAAGTGAACATTTTCTATTAAATGTATAAATAAATAAGTTATAAAGTAAAGTACCTATACCTTATATTTACTTTTGCACTAATTGAATACGCGATTAGAGTCTTTAGAAAATTTCTGAAGCGGATTTTCATATTTTAATTAGTGTCGATTTAATTCACATCTAATAACTAAGAACAGTATTAATACCATTACTTTCTAATTCAATTATAAATATTAGTTTTCCGTTATATTTTATATAATAAGTAAAACGTATGTAACAGTATTCATTACGTACAAAACATCTACGAAATTCGTTCACATCCTCATAGAAAGTTTTGTTTACGAATTCATAATATTTTGTAATTAATAATAACATTAGAATCTATATAACGCACAAGCAGTACAGTACGTGCCTCGTTATATAAATGAAGAATCGTTCAACCAATGATGAGACCTTTGATGGAGCATACCTACCTATAAGACACTTATAAACCCAGGTCTTGATAACACCACCCTTCAGGGATCACAGTCTCCGGAAAATAATAACACTCCTTAGTGGTTCTGATGATAAAACTGAAGACGATTCGCTTCGTGTATATGGGTGGCATTTTGGTACAATGGTAAAAAGGACTACTATTTGAATCCTCTTAGGATTCAAGATGTAGATATGTTTCCGCAAATAACTGAAAAGTTTTCTCCAGATAAATTAGAATATCAAACATAATTTGTGTCCGCAAGTGCTCCAGCAGTTTATAGGAAATTTACATATATGGAGGTTGTAAAACATACAATAAAAGAAGTCAACTTCTTTACCAAAACTTATCGATAGTGTGTTATGTAGTTTTATTAATTTAATCATGTAAGAAAACCACGTTGTTTGCTAATTTGATTAAAATATTTTAAAACGTAAAAGTATCCAAAATATTTCGAGAAAGTACATGTCGTAACTTTTCTATAAAAAAAAAAATCTGATTCTCATTTCAATAAATGAATTTTGAATTCTTTTATAGCTTTCTGTCTAGTAGAGAGTAAAATGGATCCGTCAAATTTAACGAGAGTGAGTCCAAACAATAATTTATCTTGTACAGAACCTGATCCAAACAATTGGTGGTGGGGTGAGGTCTTACTGACAGCGATTTATGATTTCAAATTACTTAATTTGTGTCATTCATTTGTGTGACTTTTTCACCATATACCATGTAGATTGTAGGTAAGGTTTCCTCATTAGTATTATAAAAAAAAAATCCTTAAAAATTAAAGAGTCTTTTAAAAGACTTAAGGTATTTATTTATTAAGTATACATAATTGTTTCGGATTAATTAGAAGCCCTAAAATATTTTATTGGCTCTTAGCAAACCTCGAACATAATATTTCATTTAACCTTTACTATCTACTGCTTAAGGATCAAAATTTAACATATAGGTATAAAATCATCTAATTGTGCAAATATTACATAAGAATTGGTTGCAACCAAATCGCACATCATGATCGCAGGACAGACATTTACATGCATGTAGGTAAATAAAATCTCTCCTCGCTTACAGTACAACCTAGTCCTGACGCGGATGTGTTCAAATGCGCCAGCGCACAGTGTCGCGCAGTGAATGCGTAGGCGCTGATTATCGCTCCGTATTGATAAATAAAACATGGCGCCCGGTGAAAGTGTCGTGAACTTGATCTTTGAATAGTTTTCGTAGGTACGCCACTGACACCTTTGTTTTATTTTTATTGTAACAATACGCCCACTTGCTTTATAAAAAGATTATATGTTTGATTATTTATTTACAATTTATATATGATAAACTAGCCGCCCAACCTGGCTTCGCACAGGTTTCCAATTTCCTCGCTTACGATAAAAGGGTCTATGTTAACATTTTTTCCTAGAACCTGCTCTTGTAAAAAAAAGGATTGGCAAAATTGGTCCAAGCGTTGTTCAGTTATTATTCGCTCAACAAAAAATATTGTTACAGTTATCACATATATCCTAGGGTTATTCTGGAAAATCACCACGAGTGTTGCGAGGAGTGTCAAGCGCTTACTAACCAAAATCACTCCGTATCTCCTCTTCTTCCGACCCGAGTTGCAGTAGATGCTCATTGTGCTTTAACACGCAACACCAGTTGGAAATATAATCATATATGTGTCCTGTGACATGTGTTATTCCGGACTCCAGAATCTATATAAAGTCGCATTTATTTACATTCAGATTACTTCAGCTCTTTTGCTTGCAGTAATATCATAACTTTATTGGTCCTACCTTATCCTATCTCACCGCGGCCTGGGCCTTAATCATCTGAAAGGACGGGGGGTTTTTAGTCAGTAAGAGTTTGACACTCTCGCCTCATCAAGCAGGGAGATAAGTCATTTGGTGATTATTCCCTTACAAAAACACCCTATCCTGTGCAAATAGTGCAGACTTCGTCAATTTTTTGTCGTTTTATTTAAATTCTTGATATATGTCTTTCTGCCTATTACTAGGCCATTTAATTTTGGATATGCAAACAGGAAACTAAGACCCAATCCAATTCCAAGTCTAGAAAGTGGAAGAGTGATGGGCGAAATTGTAGTGGAACGTGTAAATGGAGCCATGATGGCTAATCAGTGGTCCATTATCATGCTAACCACGACTCCTAGTGTTAGGTCCGTGGTCACGTACTCCAGCAGGTCAACCTACTCCGATTATTTTCATTTTATTTTCGACTTTATATCAAGACTGTAAAGGTGACGAATTGTAAATGAATTTAACAGTCAGGATAGCTTGACCAGCTGTCTGTACGTGCTGGCTAATTTCAGTAGGTTATGATGACAGGATGACGTATTAAGAAATGTTATATTGGCTATATTTCAGTAGAGTACACAAAGGTTGTTCCGTGTGAGAAGTGAACCCTCAACACATTGCGTGTGTAAAAAATAATGTACTTAACTTTAAACGATAAAAAATTATATACCTATTTATTTATAGTATATTCATCCTATCTCGGAAACAGCTCTAACGATTTTGATGAGAAATTAGTATGGATAGTATGGACAGGGATTCGGGAAAGAAAATGATTCTATCTAGGTTCCATTTTCGAAAAATTGAAAAAACATGACCAAATTTAATTCACTCATCTACTTACTTTTAATTTTATCTGTATAACATGGCACAGATTATGTTAATATCTCGTACAAATGGATGAAATTGAAAATCCATGACACTTTTGCATTGAAGTGCAATGACCTGTGCGGAACCAAGTTAAATTTATGTTAAGCAAATAGGCACTTAGGTATGTTATGTATGCTGTCTGTCAGTAATATAACTTACGTAATGTCTACCAATTAATGTTTTAGCTGACTTTTTGTGGTTTGAGAAATCTTCCAATATTATTTGCATAACACCGATATAAGAGAAATGTGTTTACCATAAAATTCTCATTCGACTATCCCATTATAAATATATCTGTCAATTTCAACCTTATTCCAATGAAATAGAGGTTACAGTTTCAAATGAAAGTGTAGACGAAAAGTGAGGTAATCGGATCCATTGTTTTTTTTTATTCTCACGATTGAAGATAAAATGTTTTATTGTTGGCAACATCGATTTGAAATTCAGTATTTTTTTGCTCTAGTAACGTATGCAAATTGTTTGTGTAACAAAGTGATGTTGCTACTTGAGATTGAGAATCTCACGAAGAAAATATAAGCTATGTTTCAAATACATTGCGTTTTTTGTGCTAAAGATGTGATCGTTTATTCATAGTAAACGAGCGATGGATATGACAACGAGATAATGTCAAAAGCATGATTAAATGCGTTTTTGTAATAAAGATCATTGATCAAGTGAGTGCTACAGTTTTTGTGTTCGATTCATTGTCGTGTAGGTACTTCACTGTATGTTAGTTGTGTCTAAATAATCTAAGAAAGACTAAGAATTCTTGGCACATTGATACTGGTCAGGTTCAAGCGGCAACCTTCAGCGTGAGAAGCGAGCGCTTTACCTCTGGATCAAATTGGTGTTTTTTTATGTGATTGATATGCGGCAAACGAGCTGACTTATTACCTGATGGTAAGCAATCAGCGCAACCCATTGACACCCGCAACAAGAGAGGAGTTTCGAATGCTTTGCCGACCTTTTGGGGATTAGGTATTTGGAGATATAGGCATTGGTGGAGAGGAAGGATTGGGGCTCCGGTAACCTCACTCATACGGCAAAACACAACGGTGTGGTTGTTTCACGCCGGTTTTCTGTGAGGCCGTAGTATTACCCATTCGTGCTGAAGCATGTCTCTCCCACAGTTAGAAACAATCAGGTATTTACTTAAATGATCGATGTGATTTAATAAATTAAACTTTAATATTATAAAAAGACGAACCAAAATAGTTTATCTCTACTTAAACACCTAAACCGATTGATCATAGGTAACTAAATAGTATTTGGTGGTGGCCCGGAGGTTAAGGAGTCCGCTTCTCATGCATGAGGGTGTGGGTTCAAAACCTGGCAAGTAAGTACCAATGTGACTTTTTCCGAGTTATATGTACTTTCTATGATTATTTAGACACCACTGGCATACGGTGAAGGTAAACATCGTGAGGAAACCTGGACTTATAATTTCTAATTATAAGTTTGAAATCGCCAATCCGCATTGAGCAAGCGTGGTGATTAATGCTCAAACCTTCTCCGTGTGAGAAGAGGCCTTTGCTTAGCAGTGGGCACTTATAGGCTGATGATGATGAAATAGTATTTTATTCGAAGCTATTAAAAGATGGTCTTCAGGTACGCAGTCGCTAGAACAATAATGGCTGATGTCATAGATTATAATTAATTGCCGTCATAAGAAGAAAGTGAGAGATAGCTAATGTGGTAATAATTATTGGGTACGAACATAATTTGTGTGAAATGTTTCAGACGTAAGCATACCGTACCGAAAGTTTTAATTTATTTTTCATCTTTATTTTTATTTCAACAAGACTAAGTACGCAAACATTTGCTTGAAGGATCCATGATTGGGTCGCTCAGGGTTGTGAATCTGTGACTATTTTAGTGGCACAAAATTCTTCATTATAAGTCTGTTTGCTTTCGTCTTACAAATTATATTGCTGCACCGGTTGGTGCGGTGGTTGGGCAACTGGCTGCCGTGCAACGTGTCGCGGGTTCGATTCCCGCACGGAACAACTCTTTGTGTGATCCACAAATTGTTGTTCCGGAGCTGGGTGTGATGTGCATGTGGAATTATGTATGGAATTATGGTATGTTTGTAAACGCACCCACGACACAGGAGAAAATCCTAATGTGGGGCAACTTTTTTTTTAACAAAGAAAAAAATATACTTGGTTGTCCAAACCAATTATTGACAATTTTTATTTTAAAACCCTTTATTGACCGACTAGTGGGTGTATTCTATTAAACTTCCCTAGAGACATACAGGCTATAATTATAAAAGCCATTTGTATAAATAACATCTTCAATTAAATGTTTAAAGATGTTAACAGAGACAAACCTACCACAGAGTATAGTACGTAAGAATAGGAACAATTAAAATAAATAAATAATAACATAGTAATTATTATCTTTAACTTCTAAACTTATACTCTTAAAACTCACGCAGCGTTTGTAACCCACGCAGTATTATAGTTATTGAAAATAATAGGTGATAACTTGCTAGCTTTTTCCAGCGACTCCGTTCACGTGGAATAGTGACTTCTTGCAGGTTTTTGGTATAAAAACTATCCTATGTCCTTTCTCGAGTTCCAATAGCTATGTCTGTACCAAGTTTCACAGAAATCAATTCAGTAGTTTCGGCGTGAAGAAAAGACAGACAGACAGAGTTACTTTCGCATTTATAATATTAATTTGAATATCGTGATTAACAAGAGGATTTGATATGTGGGTTACACAGAGTCCTGAAGTTCATAGAAGGTGCAGATGTCTTCCCATCAGGAGATCTGTCTTTTTTATATGATAGGCGAACAAACGAGCATACGCATTACCTGATGGTAAGCAATCAGCGCCGTCCATGGGCACTCGCTCCACTTGAAGAGTTACGATTGTGTTACAGACCTTTTCGAGACTACTAGGGTTTCAGATATTATATGATTTAAGGATTAGGGTAGGGGAAGAAGAATTGGGACTAATAATAATCAAAAGAAAAATGCATCTTAATTGAGAAACTTACATGTTCTTTCAAAGGATAGTAAGCGTGATCATATGTGTCCATTATCACACTTCTATCTTATAACGTAACATTAATTACAATGAGGATGCCGTCAATTGAAAAGTGCAATTAACACGTCAAACCATCTTTCAAACGTCACTCCGACACGTCAGTCATCAGTCAAAATCATCAGTAAAATTGTATCAGTTATGACTGATGTGATGATGGTCAATGGTTTGATGTAGGAATGTGTGGGGAACACACAGCTAGCTTATCAACCTATACTAATCTGTCACATGATGTTACACGATTTTCAACTAAATTTGTAAAGGATTATATTCGAAATTCAATTGAAGAAGTGACAGTTGGTTCATGTGCTGGTCTGAACGTAGTGTGAAATTGATTGATGAATAATTTAATAATTATCTTCCTCTTTAATTGATGTTAAGGGATCCTGCTGTGACAGGCTTTTGTTTTAATGTTGACGCGTTTGAGTAGTTGTGTAGGTAGGTTTTTTGTGTCAAGTATAAGTCAAGGCACCCATGAAGTTGAATTAAATTAAACTGCGATACTACTTACTTGAAAACCTTAGATTTAATGTCTTCTTAGATATTTAGTACTTAGTACAGCCTCGACATCATCATTATAAGGAAAAGCTATAAGTGTCCATTGCAGTGCAAAGGCCTCTTTTCACACGAAGTACGTAGAGAAGCATCAAACATCACGCCTGCTCAAGGCAGATTAGCGATTACAAATTTATAATTTGAAATTACAAGTCCAAGTTTCCTCACAGTGCTTTCCTGACCATATAAGTACTATCTAAATGTCTTCGAACGGACATTAAATTCGGAAAATTCGCATTGGTACTCTATTCTTAACCTCCGGGCCACCACGACATCATTAAAATTATTTGCTCATATCGCTATTTTAACAACGTGTGTTTTTTTATTTAGTTTTTAAATAACGTTAAACCGTCAACTTTATTAACTTGAGATCTTTATAAAATCCCCATAAGTATCATTAATAAAAATTTCACTTTCATTTTCGTGACTTATGATTTGATTATACCTAATTCATTTAAAAACGTTCGGAGCACTATGCGATGGGGATAATTTATGAATTAATGTGATGCTCGCTGCTACTTTACAAGTTGTAAGCGATCAGCGAATTGTGTAGATAGCTGTAGTTTGGTGTAGATAGCGAATTAACAACATTGAGCATCTTAGATCTATTAAGGGACTTGTAGATTGATAGATTTTTAAACAGATTCAGGCATGTATGAAATAGAGGACATTCTTATAAATATGAGTTACTACTGTATCTTGATTGATTTAGCAAACACACTATTGCGCACATCAAATAAATTTAATAAACAAAAACAAAAGACAATCAAATCAAATACATAACATCAAATCGTTGATCACACAAACCGGCGCGGACGCGGCGACGTCGCGCAGCCTACTCAGTAGCAGTAGCCTATCAGTAGGCTGCGCGACGTCGCCGCGTCCGCGCACGCTGCTCATGAGGAAGAACCCCTCTGTGGTTCGAAACTAGTAGAGCTTTTCTCAATATTTACACGTGAGTAACCCGCGATTTTTAGTTAATTTAGTATGTCTCACGATAGTTATTATAAAAACACAAAGATTTGTTCCGTGCGAGAATCAAACTTGCAATGGCGTCAACTTTGCAGTCAAAATAAAATATTTATTTTACTTTTATTATCACTTCATGCACGAAACATTTAACATTAGGCGTGACTAGACTTTATGTATTGAGCATTCTCGTCTACCAGTCAACCTTTGGGTAATGCGTATAGAGAGAATTCAGTAGTAGACGCAACAAGCATAATAAATATGTGTAAATAAAAAAATATATATAAAAAGAAATCGCTCATCGCTCATGGCACGAACCGTTTCAAACGCGGTGGGCGTTAAACCGTGACCACAGTCAAAAGTAGTGGGACCATGGGCGAGGTGGTCTTTGTGCGCTCACGCCGCGTCAAGCGGTGCATTGACACCAAATTACTGACCTTTCCTACCCATAGAAAGTACTCAAGTAAATCTGAATCATTTTCGAAATTTAATGTGAAAAGGTTATAACATTTTATGACGAGAAAGGGAGAGAGAGATAGATAGAGAGAGAGAGAGAGAGATCGCTATGTTAGAATTTTGGTAAATAAAACGAAAATAATAAATGATGTGTTTAACGGCTTACTCACTTAACTGTAGGCGTAATATCTTGACTTGTTTCAAGTCACGTTAAGAGCTCCCATTCGGACATCACACGTTAGAAAAATGGTTAAGTGGAAATGAGTTTTTGCTAATACACTACTTAACCCCTTTAACTGGACTGCGATAATCCTTTATTGCTGAAACTTATACGCACTACAAATCTACTCAAATAAACTAAGCACATAAGCAATACATATTTATCTAGCAACAGTTGTTTCAAAAGATACTTACTACAAGATACAACAAAATTTTAAGACTACATGTTAGTAAAAAATATTTTCCAGTCGTACCCTATATTACTACTAAAGAAAATCGGAAACCAAATAATAGGTCTTTACCTATGAAATTGCCGTTCTGCAGTACTGGCCATTTCAAATCAAAATAGTTTTTGTTAGGCTAAGGCTAATTAATTTAAAAACATGGGATTATTTTTCCAAAAGTAGTCATTTGTTTATTGATTAGTGTTACGTTTTCATCGCATTTCAAACCAAAAAATTCGTTTAAATTTTTTCATACAAAAAGGCAATTTCATATGTAAAGACCTATTATTACTTCCTTTGTACTGGAATCTAGACTAGGTCAATATAACGGAACATCTGCGATGAAACTTAACAAACAACATCGGACAAAAAGTTCGCACTGTACAGAAATTTGCATGCATTGTGCTTTGTGATGTAAGACAAAAAAACAAAACAAGACACGTTTTTCCGGTCTGATTGTTTATTAACACCTCAATGTAGGTTCCTATGTTTGCATTCTTTAAAACAAAAAGTAAACAAATAGATTTGTCGATCTTTTACTGCAAAAAAACTAAATCATAATAACAACTTTTCCTCCTCATTTTTTTTCCATTTCTAAGTATAGGTGCCAGTATAGGTGCATGTAGTTTTTGGTGTCGGTACCCAGATTCTGCTTAATTTCTTACAGACTTTTTATGTCTTTTTTTCAATCGTATTAGGCTGGCAATTGTTCGCTATCACAGCTGGTGGTAGGTGATGATGGGACGCCTACCCACAAGCCCATTTACATAGGCTTTGAAGGCACTGAAGTTATATCTACCGTTCGGGGATCACAGACTCTAGAATTCCACGCCTTCTCTCTTCGGTCTTATCAATAAAAATAAACACAAATTTTTCCTATCCCTATAACCAGCAACGGGAAAGTAAATAAACTTCCCTACTTTCAATCACAAACTAAAAACAAACGGAACTACACACCTAACCCACATTTTGCATCAAATCTAAAAGATTAATTGACAAAAAGAAAGGAACCTGTCAACTTGCTGTCGACAATGAATCGACGCCATTATTACAAGTTCCTGGAGAACGCCATTGTTATTGTAGCCGTCTTCATTTGTTTTTTAACTTATTTGCAACAAAACTGTCTCACAGTAAGATTGAAATCTTAATTAGAATTGAAATAATTATCTGTTCAAAGTAGATTTCGATCTTTAGTCGGGACGATGTAATTTTTGAGTTTGTTACAATACAACGTTGTTGAGAATTAATTTTACGTAATCATTTTGAGTTTAAATATGCTTTTGTCTTTATTTTATTTTGATTTTATCACATTCAATTACGATTTGGTGTAATCAAAACTTATTCAAACAAGCATAAAAGAAATACAATTGATCTCTTCCAAATTAATGAAAATGCCTACCTATTTCCTAAACCTATTTTCTTGAAACTTATTCATAAGGTATTATTAATCTAGCTTCCAAATGCACGCGATTTATTTCGCAGATGTCACCACTATCGTCTTAAAGCTTCTAGCCCTTCCCTAAAGCACAATTTCATTGACAAGACGATTGCGATTGCTAATTACCTACTACTTTGTATAAAGCATGTCTTCACAACCTACACCATTAATTATCACACGAACTAATCGCCAGTTTACTACAGATTAACGGCTAAACACTAACCTGCTTCCCTCCTATCCCGTGTAAACGAGTTGTGAATGTTGTGATAGTCGTCGTTCACAATATTTACCACAATTCCCACTCCTCCCTTTCCCACGGCCCGGCAAATTGCTACAAATGTGGGGTTTCAAGACTGCACTAGAATGATTGCACATTTGTAAATAAGTAGTTCGGCTTTGTAAGTATTTATGTACTATAATTAATGCTTGCTGTTGTTAGGTTCAAAAAATATAAATAGTGGCTAGGAATATTTTTTAAGTGTTAGTTACATTTATTAATTCTGGTTGTAATGTAGTATTGATAGAGAAGCCTTATGCCAAATTGCTAAAGTCGTACAATATAAACATAGAACTTTTTTTTGTTTATTTTTTATGAGTTTTCCATTTTCAAATCCTATTGGAATAGATTTTGAAATTGAGTTCAGAATACTATCCCTTATTATAAAAAGTGGGTTGGTAATTATCAAATAACCATAGTTCTATCTTTTCCTACGTGGAATATAACTGGATATTATTATATCATTGAACAAAAACAAAAAAAAAACCTTAGCGTGTCAAAAAACTGCCAAATCGCGAAACACGCATATCACAAATTATGCACGCAACTGTAAACGCACAATGTATCCTCCAGCAGGTCAAACTACTCTTATTGCTTTTATTAATTTTGTACCTTATCATTTTAAAATACAGTCGAAAATCCCTAATACTGACTTGTCAGATTGGGATACTTTGATTTGCGGCCATCTGTTCAGACGAAGAACGAATATTAGTGTCCTATTAGTGGTCGACCAAGAAGCCATTATGATGTAATGATGGTTACATTATAATGATGTTAAGGAAAACCGTCTTGATATCATTTATTAGAATACTGACAGGTTGTGTTGCGGAAATATAGAACAAGTTATATGGAACAGTGGTATAATAAGAGTGATTATTGAATGTACGTGTTTTTTTTTTAACATATAACATATATAACATACCCCTCACTTGTTTTTCTCCTTTTCGTTCGTGGGTACAAATGCCTGTCAAACTTTTGAGAATCCCACAAATAGTTGTCCGTACGGGAATCGAACCGTAAAATGTTGTGCGGCTGTCTATTATCGAAGAAATCAATGTTTGTTAGTTATTCAGTGTTTTATACTTAATAAATAAGTGAAAATTCATTACAATTCCTTTTTCTGTTATTGTTGGTTTTATTATATTTAAATATGATTAGCCTACCTACTTACCTACTACCTAAATATTAACGATTAATTATCACGTATACCTAGAAGATAAATTCAACAGTTACAAAACTGCATAATTATGACTTCCCAATCAAAACAAAATTAAGCAAGAACACCTTACAAACTCAGCAAAACAATTTCAAAATAAAAATATTTAATTAAACATTAAAATAATAATAATTAACAATTAGTAGAACATTCGCACATATTGAGAAAGCTTTACAATAAAATCTTACATACTCTGAAATGAATTTCATCATAAACAAGTGACTGTTCACCGCTTTCAAGATGGCGGACACCTTTCAATTTTAAGAGTTTGCACAAATAACATAATGTTATGCAATGCGCATGCGCATCGTTATTTTATTTGCTTTAGCTTCTGTGAGATGATCGAGGTCAAGAAATAGATATGTTGAAAGGTCTATTTTTCATTTTATAATGGTTACTTCGGTGATTAAAATAATGTCAATATTTAATTCTATACATTCTAAATAAATATTTTCGGAGCAAATCTTGAAATTTATGTTTTTAGTCGAAATTGAAATCGATTCAGTTTCTTGACAATATTTTGTATTTTTCTTACAATAGACTGGAAGTTTTATAAAGGACTCGTGACTCGTGAAATTAGCAAAAAGAACTTACAATGTATAACCTGAAATAATCACACTACTGCCCACGAGTGATTATTAACAAAAACATGAAATAAATGATGAATATTTTTTTAGCTATCAAATCAATGACTCAACAAACTGATTGACACATTGTATTATCTTTCTCCCTTAATTCTCTATCACGGCTTACATAAAAAGAAAAAGTTGGCCAATAACATTTTTGGAAAGCCACCCATTATTGTCTCGATTAGGGCACTTACGGCAAAACGAATTGATGCATAGCGTACGCACATTCCAAAATAAATGAATGGCAATAATCCATTAACCTTTAACCTGCAACATTGTGACTATAATATTATTATGAACCTATGAATCAAATAAATGGACTATGACTAAATTGACTGACGCGATTGTGTTACGCCCCAGAAGAATTGAAACACATAAATTTGTGGTCAGAGTACTTTTGGTAGCTTCTTTTTTTGAGGCGATAAAATCTTCAAATGACTTGGTTATAATGATTAGGCAGGGTGAGAGAGTC